AAACGAGGGAAGAACTGACAACAATTGAAAGCAACTACAAAAACTTTCAGCACTCTCATGTTAAAATCTGTATTTGCTGCTGGTGGACTTTCTGGGTATGAGTGTGCCTTGCTTTCCCACTTGTCCCACCCCTGAAATAATTAAAGAATTTAGTTCAGTTCAATAGCCAAACCGATCTGAGCAATCTCCATAGAATTATCTTCCCCATTACAAACACACACAAAACAGGATACCTTCCTTGTGTCATCAACACTATCCTGAAATACTACCCTACACTGCAAGCAAAAGTGGGATTTATTTTGCTTCCAGAATTATTTCAATTGCTTTCAAGCCTAGACAGATAAAACTCACTATTTGAGTGGACTGCTTATTTTCTGTGAAGAATATATCATTAAGATAATTATTCTGAAACAAGTATCTTACAGGATTCACATAAGCCAAGCTGTGATCACATTCTGCTACTGAAAGGTTCCTTCCTTCTAAATCCGTCCTTGGACTGCACCTAGCAATTATCAAATCTGCAGGAGCTTACTGTTTCATCTGAAAACCGATTTTGGGAAGAAAACCCCAAACCCAAAACACGCAGCAACATAAGGAAAAAAACCACCTCAAAAACCCACATACCCCAGATGGGTTCACGGATCCAGCTGGCAACTACCTCACCCATTCTGCAACCACAGGCTAGAACCATACGACCAAGAGCTGGGGGAAATTTATTTGAGGCATGACCTTAATTTAGCCAAAATCCATGATAATATCAGAGAATATCCTATGCCTGACAGCAGACCCAATTCTCATTCCCAAACTGCTCCTGCCATAGCAATATAAATGAATTTTAAAGTGGATGCAAATGGACCAGGTATGTTTAAAATGTTCTCTTGGCATAGATCCTCACCTGGAGTAAAGTGCCACTGACTTCAAAGGAATGATGCATCTACCCTTTGGGTGTATTTTTTTGAGACTATTACTTTAGGCAATGAAAAAAGAAAGACTCCTAAGCAGTTTAAAATATACAGGGATTAATTTCTTTCCTTCCCAACATCATAGACTATGTGTGGGATGCTGAAATGAATTCGGGGCTTACATGTACTCAAAGGATTTACTGAGAGTGACTGAAATAAAAACAGAAGATAGAAATATAAAGAGAAAAGTGAATATAAAATAAAAATTGGGGGTGGAACTCTTGTTTTTCAGAATAACCTTGTTTATATTTATTATTTCTCTCTATTTATGGGACAAATTCTTCAATATCCTTCAAATGAAACTAATTTCAAATATTTTTCTGCTGGGAAAAAAATGAATATGTTACTGTCTCTGTTCTTGTACACAACTAGAAAACACATTGTTGTACACTACTCTTTCACAGAAATCTGAGTAAGGAGAACATGGACTGCCTGGTGTGAAAGCTTGCAATCTCAGCTCATGCATCACTATCACTTAACACCTACATGGCTTTGCACCTCTGTTCCTGCACTTCAGCACTTAGAAGATCAACTTAGAGTTTGCTTTATAATCTCTTGTTTTTCTACTGAGTCACCTGCGCTTGTTCCACCGTTGGGTTCACCTTAAGAGGAAGTTTTCCCCTTTTTCTTTCCCACATACAGGTTTCTCACAAAAAGTAATGTATCACAAGAGCAAAGAGCAGGATTGACACAGAGGGCCACTTAACCCTCAGGCAACCCCCCAGGCAACCGGGACGGGGAATCCCAAAACACCTTGCACTGCAGTTTTCCTCTGAAGGCAAATCCCTCCAGGACGGGCCAGCTCTTGGCACAAGCAGGTCAACTGAAAAACTGGACAAGGAAAGAAAAACTCCCAGTACAGCTCCCGACTCCTAAGTCTTTCATCCACGGAGTACCAAAGGGTACTTTGTGCCACCATAACATCTTCTACTTGTAGGTACATTCAAGAATCATACATTATGTTATCACTAACACCCACACGTGCAAAGAACTGGCATTTGATTATTTACCAAGTCACTTTAAAAGAGGATAAGGAATCCTGATGGCTTCCCTTCTTATCATAAAGAAATTTTGCAGTTGCTACAGAGACATTACAAGTCTTTAATGAAAAGAGATAGGCTTCTATTAAATGGTGTTTTATTAACAACTGTGAACATCCTCTTAGAGACAAAATTTAAACTTTTGAGGCGGGGGGAAGCTGGGGTTTTGTATGAACTCAAAAATGGAATTAGTGAACTCCTATAAACAGATATTATCCTCATGCAAATTGAATTAGAACATTCATACCTCTAATGAAATAAGCCAATAGTAAGACTGAGTGAGCAGGTAGATAGCCTAGAAACAGAAAGCAATAGCACTTTATTTTTTATTGTATAGGAGAAGAAAAAAAGAAGAAGAGATTCATTTTATCTGAGTTCACTGCTCTCTAATAACACAGATCAAATTTACTTTCTATATATCAAATCAGATCTAAATGGTAGACATGAACCTCACTGTTCAAGGTGTGCTGGTTCTGCACATCTACAAAGTACAACACAAATAATATTCACATCCTATCAACATTCCCATCCAGAAGCATTAGAGTACCTAAAATTAGAGGAAAATTATGGGTACAAAACTGGTTTACGTGCTCAGGAAAGATTTGATGCTATTTATTGGGAATTTCTGAATTCCCATTAGGCACTTGTCATACTCTTTAACCAGAAGTGGACAGGTACACATATTTTATTGTTTCTATATTTACAAAATGAAAATGACATCTCTCTGGGGTTAAAAGACTTGGTAAGATGTATTCAATGGTACAGCCTTTTACTACTCTCATCTTCATCAGAAAAGAGTCTCAAGTTGGGCTGCCTCACTGATTTCTTTTGTCATGCACCACAAGTAAAGAGTAAGACAGTAATTTTATTTGCTTGTACAACTGACCAGGTGAACACCTTCTCTCACCTACACTGAGGAGAAGGATTACTGACATGGCTAAAGCCTATACGTGAAAATAAGTGAAGCTGCTGTTGTACATTAGCTTTGGATTTTACTTTCTTCCACAAGAAATAATTCTGCACTTTTCCATGCTATCCCACCTCTCCATACACTATAGAGTGTGATAATAGAAATGTGGGAAGGGAAGTAATTTGAAAGTCTGCTCTTCTCTCCCAGCTGTGAGGCCCTTTTAGCAAAGGAGATAGTAAAACATCTATCTCACACACTAACTTCACAAATCCCATTGCCTTGCAGTCTATCAGGCACAAAAACAGAGCTGGGACAGGGATTTTATGGAATGGTCTTGACAGATGGAGTAAACCAGACATTCCCAGACCAGCCAGAGCATGCAACAGATAGAAAACACTTTCATTTCAAGGAGGGTTTTGAAAAATGTGACATAAAGAGTACCCCATGCACAGAGGTTGAGACCCAAGAAGGTGAAAGACCTTCTGCCAATTGATCAATGGAGTTCTAGAGTTTCAAAGCCAGAATTCACATTTTTTTGTGCATGCTTACACAACAGAGCCCAGGCCAATTGAAGATACAAAGAGAGTAAAAGATTATTACCATTACTTTTTTAAGTTTCACGTCAGGTAGAACTGATCTTCACATCAGCTGCTCTCAGACTTTCATTTAGTTCATTAAAATATCTTGTTTGGTCAGTTCTACCACTATAATTTATTTTAAACATAGTGAAACCTTAACTAAAGAGGCAGCCTGACATTAAGCATCCACTTAAAAGCCTCTGCAGATTACCACTCCGCTCTTTGTGGCGAGGGTTTGGGCACAGTAAAGTTTTGAGCCAGATTCCACTTTCCCTTCATTTCTCAGATCACTTCAATGCAAATTCCAAATTCAGGCAGCACCACCACAGACATGTTACCGTCAGTGAAACCAGCCAAAACATGTCCTCTAGTTTGAGGTGGTCTCTTCAGCTAAGGCTGGAAAATGGCCCAAAATTGTGATCACTGTTCTGTTTTTTAAACCCCACTTCAAAGTCAAAAAGCTGATTTTCCTCTCTTGCTGCTTAAGGCAAATTTAACTGGATACACATATGGCGTAAGTGCCAAACCCATTTAGAGTTGGAGGAACTTGCAAAACATACAGAGGCAGATTCTGCTGCTCTTACTCACTTTAAACAGCTCCAGCTTAACTAATGGGACTCCTCAACACAATTAAGACAAGCAGGATCCAATCCAAAAAGAATATGCACATTTCAAAGTTGAAAAATATACTCTGCACAAAGTACACTGGTAATCCAGGGAGATATTCAAGTGGCCATTTAATGGACAGTTACATACACGGAAAAAGCAGTAGGACAATCTTAGTCTAGGATGGTTTTTTAAACAGCAACCACGTGCTACACTAAAACTAATTAACTACCCAAAAGGGTTGTTAGCTGGGGGCAGGAATCTTCAGCTCAAGGTGTTCTGGGGAGTCAAACCCTAAGTGTTAATCTAATGGGAAACAGCACGCTTTTGTATTAGGATAATCCAAAATATTCGACTGCAAAGTACAGGTCACATTCTACAGCTACGTCTTTCACAGGCAGGAATTTCAGCAAGATGGAGTGCAAGATTTTTCCAGAGAAGATTTATGTCACTTTATCGTTTATATCCATAAGCATTCATATTTATAAACAAACTGAGAACTTACAGATTAACGACCTTTTTAAAACATCCGGTAAAAACACTATTAGATGTAAGGGGGAAGGAGGAAGGGGTGTTTTTTCAGAAGCAAAGCCACAAGCCGGTAACTCCGAACAGATCCCGCGGGAGGAGCAGGGCAGGTGCCTCAGGGCACTGCCCGGGACTCTCCGCCCGCCCCGGGAGGGCTCCGCCGCCACCTCGAGGGGTCCCCGCCCCGCCCAGACCCCCTGCCCGGCAGCCTCTCCTCCCTCCCAGCCTCTTCTCCTCCATCACTTCCTCTCCCCCTCCTCGCGGGCCCCTTTACCCCTCACCTCAGACCCTTTTCCTCCCCCAACATACGTCCTCAGCCCGCCCCGCCTCGAACTCCCGCTTCTCCTCCTTCTTCGCCTCGCCCCGCGGCTCTCACCCTCCCGGGCTTTCAGCAGCACCGTGTTGGCCACGATGTTCTCGATTTCCATGGTCGGGGGCTCCTTCCCCTCAGGGCAGCCGGAGCGGGGCCGCCCCTACAGCCTCCTTCGCCCCCTCCTCCAGCCCCGCCACCGCCGCGGCGCCAAGCCTCGGCTCATCCGGCCCCGGAGGACCTCAGCACTGCGCTCGCCTCTTCCCCATCACCCGCTGCTCGCCCCGGCACCGCGCTCCCCCTCCCCGAGGGCGGAGACGGAGAGCAGGCAGCGCCCTCCCGCCCCGGCCATGGCTCCTCCGCCCGCCTCAGGCAGCACCGCCCCTGCGCTGCCACCCCCTCACTGTTATCGGGACTACAAGTCCCGGCAGGCAGAGCGCGGTATGCTCTGGGGACACACGCGCGCGATGGCTCGTGGGGCTGCTGGGATATGTAGTGCGTCAAACCTTCCCCGACCTCTTCCCCAAGCGGGTGGGGAGCAGAGCGGCAAATATCGCGGTACTAGGGGAAGGCTCTCGTGAGAGGCGGCACGCTGCCGGTGCGCATGTGGTAGTGCTGGGTACGGCGGGGTGAGGGGCGCGCCGGGGCCGCCGCGTTGCTCTCTCTTCTCCCTTCTCCCTCCTCTCCTGCGCTCCCTCCTCCGCTCTGCACGCCTCCGGCTCTCACGGAGCTGTGGTGGAGGGCAGGGGTCAGGCTAAGCGGGAATTCTGGGGGTTTTGCGCCCCCTCGGCGCCATTTTGCCCGCCCCGTTCGCAGCTCCGGCTTTGGCCCCGCGCACTGAAGGCCGAGCCGCTGCCTCCCCGCCGCGTCCCCGCGGGCAGCCCGAGCAGAGATGGGGAAGGCGGCGAAGCGGAAGAAAAAGGTGTCAGGGCCCTCCACAGCGAAGGGCCCCGTGAAGTCGGCGATGGCCGTGGTCAAGAGCAACCCCTTTGAGGTGAAAGTCAACAGGCAGAAGTTTGACATTCTGGGGAGGAAGACCAAAAATGATGTGGGGCTGCCGGGTGTCTCACGGTCCAAGGCCATCAAGAAGGTAAGAGGACATGCAAAGCAAGGAGGAAGAATGGTATCTCGATGTGGGGAGATGATGAGGCTGGAGCCCTCTCAGGTGGAATCTGCCCCCCTCTGAGTGCTCAGGTGATGCAGGGCTCGGGGAATGGCTCCGGCAGGGTTCCGTAGAACAGCTCTTATTGCTTGGTGGGAATGGTTCTCTTCCCAAGTTACCCAGGTCCGCGATACAGTGGCACGTGTTGTCGGCGATAAGTGCTGGACCAGAGTACGTGTTCCTTAGGTTGGTCGGTCCTGATCCTCACAGGATGTTAAGCTTCTTGATAATGTTGTAACGTGGTATAATAGTGAAAGGTTGAAAGAGCGCTAAGGTCGCGATACAGTGCGAAATGTTTAGCTACAAAGAAACTACTGTTGATCTGGAAAACAAATGCGGGTGATTTTTTGTGCACAGGCTGAATAGTCGTGTCGTGGAAGTAAGTTGGGATGTAATGATCTGTTCCCCGCTGTCGTAAGGATCACCATACAACTTAAGAAGAGTAAATTTTTTATCTTCAACCCTTGCACCATTTTCAAAATGCCTCATATTCTTTCTCTCTTGCCATCAGTAGCTACCTGACCAAAATCTGTGATGCACAGGGGAGAGTGTGTCATACTATGCATCTGGGATTCCAGCAGCCTACCTTATTCCTGGGTGAAACACAGGACTTTTTAGTGGTCTGTCACTTCACACAAACCAGCAACGTTTAAACCTATGTAGGTTAAGTTAAAGCTGAAAAAAGGGCAATTTGAAAGTATGTCCCAGATGTTCTCTGACATGTTACGTGCATGCTGTTGTTCAACAGAACTTAAAGCACTGGAGGGGCAAATGCACTGAAAGCAAAGAGATATTTTATCATATTATGTGTGTTGTGAAAGGTGATGCATTAAGTATTTTCTTTTTTATCAATAGAAGAAGTAAGCAAATTATTGAATACAAAAAACCCCACAGAAATGCCTTTTGATACCCAATGTATTAAGAGGTGTTAATGTTCATATACAGTGTCTGAGCTATAGAGACAGTGTGTATGAACATTATACACTAATGTATAATAGTCATATTGTGCATAAATATAAAGAATATGTACATATAAATATGTACACATTATGCATTATAAATAGGTATAGTGTAAGAAGTAAATAGAAGGTAGAACTGGCACAATATTAGATGAAACCTGAGTTTTAGTGTCATTTGCAGCAGCATATGAAAATTGTCACTGCTCAGTGAGGCTGCAGAGGTCTAGAGTAGAAAACCCAGACTTTTCCTTGAGTGCAGCACTTTGTGAGGTTCTGGTAGTATGAATGGCACAGTATCTTTCTCTAAGAATCTGTTATTGTGCTTTAAATAAAAATGGGTATTTCTTCAGCCTAAACACAGCCAACGTTTTTTTTCTTTAGAAACTGTATAATATCTTCAGCATGAAGTTATAAATTAGCTTTCAGATTTTTTTACTATTAGTCAAGATTTTAGAAAACTTCATGAATGTTGCACATCACATTTTAGGATTTGGAGTTTTATTTTATAAAAAAATAAATCAGATATTTGTCATGAATTAGGTCACTGGCATTGGAAAGTAAGCAGGCACAGGGCTAGATGTGTGGATCCACTCAAGGCTTTTGTGTCTTAGATGAAATGATCAAAAAAAGTTCAGCTGACTTTTGCTGGCTTTTTTGCTTTCTTTAATATGCTATTCTTAGTTTACTAAGCTTAAGACATGTCAGAATTTTTCAGTGTGAATGCACAGGTTTTGTATGCAATAAAATAAAGGTGAGATAAGGTGTAACATTTTATCTTCACTTGGGTGCTTATAAGAAAACTTCATCTGAATGTATTGTATGAGGTTCCCATCTTCATGTTAATTTTTCCTTCTCTTTTATTGCATTCTGATAAATTGCTATTTATGATATGATGGTAATATAAAGATTATTATGTTGATAGGATACAGTGGGGTCTTTTTCACGTTGGCTTTGGCAGCAGTTACTCTCTGTTCTTTCAATTTTATCTCCTTTTGTCTTTTTCCTTCTAGCGCAATCAAACATTACTGAAAGAATATAAAGAGAGAGAAAAGACAAATGTGTTTAAAGATAAACGTTTTGGTGAATATAACACCAAAATCACTCCTGAGGAGAAGATGATCAGACGATTCGCTCTGGAAAGGCAGGTAAACAATAAAAAAAAAAGGAAAAAACAAACCAAAGAAGCCAAACACAAAGCCACAAGGCACTCTTGAATTTTCAGGTTGGGAGCACCCCCTTAATAGAAGGTTTTGCAGGGTAATGCTTTATTTTTGATTTTATAGGTTTGGAACTTACAAAAAAGAAATTTTTTATGGAATTAGAAATTTTTTCATTGAATCTTTTTGGTTTTGCAAGACAACTGTTTGGAGCAGATGGTTCTTTCAGCACTGACATGCAAGAAAGCTATTTATAGCAGATTCATTGGTTGTTTTTTTTTCACTGCTTTGTTTTAGGAGTTAAATTAGGAAAAGGTGGTCACCATCAAGTATATTCAGTAGCTGAGTGGAACTCTGTAACTTGCTGTCATTCTGTACTGTGGATTGAATGTGCAGTACTATCCTTTCTCCCTCATCATACTCAGTCTCCAGGATTAAGCAGTGTAATTTTTATAGGTTGAAGTCTGTTTCATTAGACCTGAAATGCAGTAGTTAAGAATTGATGTTACTGATAAATAGATAAAATTTCAGCTTCCCTTGGTTTCCTGGGTTAGTCCATTTGTACATTAGTGTAAGAGAGACATGACATTCTCTCACTTAAAATGTATTTGAATGAAAATATTGGTCTGACAGTGCTCTTATTCCAGTGTTAAGTTCCAGCAAAACACTGGAATAACAATCACCTCAACTAGAACTGAAACTAAAGTCTGTGTTATTCTGTTGCCTGGGAACTAAAGATCTTTTGATATTTCATTGGTTTGTTTTGCTGTTCTTAGCAAAATTATGGAAAGAAGAATATCTATAATCTTAATGAAGATGAGGAATTGACTCACTATGGCCAATCTTTGGCAGAAATTGAAAAACTAAATGATATTGTTGATAGTGACAGTGACACAGAAGAAAGAGGAACACTGTCAGGTAAGAAGTGCCAGCTGTGTTTCACTGATAATTTTATTACTGGTAAATGTGTACATCATTTGTTCAGTACTGTCTCTCAGTGAGAGAGAATATCATGTTCTTGGTTGGAATGTTTAAACCAGATTTGATTACTTCTTGGTCACACACAGACCAGCTCTCTGGACTTTAGCAGGGGTTAAGTGGGACATACTACTGGCAAGCTTCTTTACTCTGTAGCTTTTCAGCATAAAAAACCTGGATTTTGAGCCTTTTGGCCAGAATCTAAAGTGTGAGTTTACTGGTTGCTTTCTTGCATCTTTGGACCTACCTGTTGCATAAATACAGGGAAAAAGCATAATCCTACCTCATCCCAACTATTTGTCAGTGTAAATTATGTGTCTGACATAATTTCTTTTGGTATGGCCATTCTCATAGGGATGGGATTGATGCATGATTGGGAGCAATTTTAACTATTGAAGCATTGTCAAAGACTGGGGAGATACTGTCCTAGCAGCAGCACTCTTGCAGTCATGTGTGGATTTGAAAGATTTACATGCTCCTTTTTTTCCCTAGCTGAATTAACTGCTGCTCACTTTGGAGGGGGTGGAGGCCTTCTTCGTAAAAAGGTGTCAAGTGAACAGCAAGATGAAGAAGAGGAAAAACCTAAGTCTAGGAAAGAACTAATTGAAGAGATGATAGCCAAATCTAAACAAGAAAAGGTGAGTTTTTGAAATATAAATGAGCATGATTAAGAAGCTGTCACCATCCCTGTATTTGTAGAATAGAATAATAGTGGCATAGCAAACAAAGGAGGAAGCCATCTGAGAGGAGTCCAAGGTCCTTGAATGAAGTCTGACTCTGTAGGCATTTTAGATATAACTTGTGTATCTGCCATTGGTTTGTATCCCCAAATCTCTCCTTGTGTTCACACCTGCTTTCTGAATGCAACCCTTGTACCATTCACCATAGCTCTATGCTTCTTCACAAAGAATGTTTGCAGCTTCAAAATGTTAAATATTTGAAATAATTCATTTGTTAAAGACAGCATTTTGGTTTTTAAGTTCTGAGTGCTATGTCATGTATATCTGTACATAAATGCTGCATTTGGTTTTGTTTTATTTTTCTAGCAAGAGAGACAAACTCGGAGAGAAAGTGCCCTAGAACTGACAGAAAAACTTGA